TAGTGCAAGTAGGGCCAAGGAGAACGGAAACGCTCATTTCTCAAAAAGTAAAGGGAATCTAGCGGTCTCACTCGATCAGAAGGTGGGAAATATATAAATCTAGTCAGCTAATAAGGTTCGGAAGGAATCTAATGCATATGTATATGGAAACTGGTGCATTGGCCAGGTCGGTCAGTATGGGAACTTAGAGTGCAAATGCCTGGGAGAACGGAACCGCTCAGATCTCGCATAGTACACGGAATCTAGTGGTCTCACTCATATAGAAGGTAGGAAATAAATTCATCTAGTGAACGTAAGGGTTTGAAAGGTAACTAACGCACATGTGTAGAGAAAATGGTGCATCGGCCAGTCTGGCCGACATTTCGCACTTATCGTGCAAGTAGGGCCAAGGAGAATGGAAACGCTCATTTCTCAAAAAGTAAAGGGAATCTAGCGGTCTCACTCGATCAGAAGGTGGGAAATATATAAATCTAGTGAGGTAATAAGGTTCCGAAGGAATCTAATGCATATCTATATGGAAAGTGGTGCATTGGCCAGGTCGGTCAGTATGGGAACTTAGAGTGCAAATGCTTGGGAGAACGGAACCGCTCAGATCTCGCATAATACACGGAATCTAGTGGTCTCACTCAAATAGAAGGTAGGAAATAAATTCATCTAGTGAACATAAGGGTTTGAAAGGTAACTAACGCACATGTGTAGAGAAAATGGTGCATCTGCCAGTCTGGCCGACATTTTGCACTTATCGTGCAAGTAGGGCCAAGGAGAATGGAAACGCTCATTTCTCAAAAAGTAAAGGGAATCTAGCGGTCTCACTCGATCAGAAGGTGGGAAATATATAAATCTAGTGAGCTTATAAGGTTCAAAAAGAATCTAATGCATATGTATATGGAAAGTGGTGCATTGGCCAGGTCGGTCAGTATGGGAACTTAGAGTGCAAATGCTTGGGAGAACGGAACCGCTCAGATCTCGCATAATACACGGAATCTAGTGGTCTCACTCAAATATAAGGTATGAAATATATTCATCTAGTGAACGTAAGGGTTTGAAAGGTAACTAATGCACATGTGTAGAGAAAATGGTGCATCGGCCAGTCTGGCCGGCATTTCGCACTCATAGTGCAGGTGGGGCCAGGTAGAACGGAAACGCTCGTTTCTCAAAAAGTAGAGGGAATCTAACGGTCTCACTCGATAAGAAGGTGGGAAATATATAAATCTAGTCAGCTAAAAAGGTTTGAAATGTATTCAACGCACATGTATAGAGAAAATGGTGCATTGGCCAGGTCGGTCAGTATCGGAACTTAAAATAAAAATGCTAGGGAGAACGGAAGCGCTCAGATCTCGCATAGTACACGGAATCAGGTGGTCTCACTCAAATAGAAAGTAGGAAATATATTCACCTAGTGAACGTAAGGGTTTGAAAGCTAACTAACACACATGTGTAGAGAAAATTGTGCATCGGCCAGTCTGGCCGGCATTTCGCACTTATAGTGCAACTAGGGCCAAGGAGAACGAAAACGCTCATTTCTCAAAAAGTAGAGGGAATCTAGTGGTCTGACTCGATCAGAAGGTGGGAAATATATAAATCTAGTGAGCTAATAAGGTTCGAAAGGAATCTAATGCATATGTATATGAAAAATGGTGCATTGGCCAGGTCGGTCAGTATGGGAACTTAGAGTACAAATGCAAGGGAGAACGGAAGAGCTCAGATCTCGCATAGTACACGGAATCTAGTGGTCTCACTCAAATAGAAGGTAGGAAATAAATTCATTTAGTGAACGTAAGGGTTGGAAAGGTAACTAACGCACATGTGTAGAGAAAATGGTGCATCGGCCAGTCTGGCCGGCATTTCGCACTTATAGTGCAAGTAGGGCCAAGGAGAACGGAAACGCTCATTTCTCAAAAAGTAAAGGGAATCTAGCGGTCTCACTCGATCAGAAGGTGGGAAATATATAAATCTAGTGAGCTTATAAGGTTCGAAAGGAATCTAATGCATATGTATATGGAAAGTGGTGCATTGGCCAGGTCGGTCACTATGGGAACTTAGAGTGCAAATGCCAGGGAGAACGGAAGCGCTCAGATCTCGCATAGTACACGGAATCTAGTGGTCTCACCCAAATAGAAGGTAGGAAATAAATTCATCTAGTGAACGTAAGGGTTTGAATAGTAACTAACGCACATGTGTAGAGAAAATGGTGCATCGGCCAGTCTGGCCGGCATTTCATACTTATCGTGCAAGTAGGGCCAAGGAGAATGGAAACGCTCATTTCTCAAAAAGTAGAGGGAATCTAGCGGTCTCACTCGATCAGAAGGTGGGAAATATATAAATCTAGTGAGTTACTAAGGTTTGAAAGGAATCTAATGCATATGTATATGGAAAATGGTGCATTGGCCAGGTCGGTCAGTATGGGAACTTAGAGTGCAAATGCCAGGGAGAACGGAAGCGCTCAGATCTCGCATAGTACACGGAATCTAGTGGTCTCACCCAAATAGAAGGTAGGAAATAAATTCATCTAGTGAACGTAAGGGTTTGAATAGTAACTAACGCACATGTGAAGAGAAAATGGTGCATCGGCCAGTCTGGCCGGCATTTCGCACTTATCGTGCAAGTAGGGCCAAGGAGAATGGAAACGCTCATTTCTCAAAAAGTAGAGGGAATCTAGCGATCTCACTCGATCAGAAGGTGGGAAATATATAAATCTAGTGAGTTAATAAGGTTCGAAAGGAATCTAATGCATATGTATATCGAAAATGGTGCATTGGCCAGGTCGGTCAGTATGGGAACTTAGAGTGCAAATGCCAGGGAGAACGGAAGCGCTCAGATCTCGCATAGTACACGGAATCTAGTGGTCTCACCCAAATAGAAGGTAGGAAATAAATTCATCTAGTGAACGTAAGGGTTTGAATAGTAACTAACGCACATGTGTAGAGAAAATGGTGCATCGGCCACTCTGGCCGGCATTTCGCACTTATCGTGCAAGTAGGGCCAAGGAGAATGGAAACGCTCATTTCTCAAAAAGTAAAGGGAATCTAGCGGTCTCACTCGATCAGAAGGTGGGAAATATATAAATCTAGTGAGTTAATAAGGTTCGAAAGGAATCAAATGCATATGTATATGGAAAATGGTGCATTGGCCAGGTCGGTCAGTATGGGAACTTAGAGTGCAAATGCCAGGGAGAACGGAAGCGCTCAGATCTCGCATAGTACACGGAATCTAGTGGTCTCACTCAAATAGAAGGTAGGAAATAAATTCATCTAGTGAACGTAAGGGCTTGAATAGTAACTAACGCACATGTGTAGAGAAAATGGTGCATCGGCCAGTCTGGCCGGCATTTCACACTTATCGTGCAAGTAGGGCCAAGGAGAACGGAAACGCTCATTTCTCAAAAAGTAAAGGGAATCTAGCGGTCTCACTCGATCAGAAGGTGGGAAATATATAAATCTAGTGAGCTACTAAGGTTCGAAAGGAATCTAATGCATATGTATATGGAAAATGGTGCATTGGCCAGGTCGGTCAGTATCGGAACTTAAAATGCAAATGCCAGGGAGAACGGAAGCGCTCAGATCTCGCGTAGTACACGGAATCAAGTGGTCTCACCCAAATAGAAAGTAGGAAATATATTCATCTAGTGAACGTAAAGGGTTTGAAAGGTAACTAACGCACATGTGTAGAGAAAATTGTGCATCAGCCAGTCTGGCCGGCATTTCGCACTTATAGTGCAACTAGGGCCAAGGAGAACGGAAACGCTCATTTCTCAAAAAGTAGAGGGAATCTAGCGGTCTCACTCGATCAAAAGGTGGGAAACATATAAATCTAGTGAGCTAATAAGGTTCGAAAGGAATCTAATGCATATGTATATGGAAAATGGTGCATTGGCCAGGTCGGTCAGTATGGGAACTTAGAGTGCAAATGCCAGGGAGAACGGAAGCGCTCAGATCTCGCATAGTACACGGAATCTAGTGGTCTCACTCAAATAGAAGGTAGGAAATAAATTCATCTAGTGAACGTAAGGGTTTGAAAGGTAACTAACGCACATGTGTAGAGAAAATGGTGCATCGGCCAGTCTAGCCGGCATTTCGCACTTATAGTGCAAGTAGGGCCAAGGAGAACGGAAACGCTCATTTCTCAAAAAGTAAAGAGAATCTAGCGGTCTCACTCGATCAGAAGGTGGGAAATATATAAATCTAGTGAGCTAATAAGGTTCGGAAGGAATCTAATGCATATGTATATGGAAAGTGGTGCATTGGCCAGGTCGGTCAGTATGCGAACTTAGAGTGCTAATGCCTGGGAGAACGGAACTGCTCAGATCTCGCATAATACACGGAATCTAGTGGTCTCACTCAAATATAAGGTAGGAAATATATTCATCTAGTGAACGTAAGGGTTTGAAAGGTAACTAACGCACATGTGTAGAGAAAATGGTGCATCGGCCAGTCTGGCCGGCATATCGCACTCATAGTGCAGGTGGGTCCAGGGAGAACGGAAACGCTCGTTTCTCAAAAAGTAGAGGGAATCTAACGGTCTCACTCGATCAGAAGGTGGGAAATATATAAATCTAGTCAGCTAAAAAGGTTTGAAATGTATTCAACGCACATGTATAGAGAAAATGGTACATTGGCCAGGTCGGTCAGTATCGGAACTTAAAATGCAAATGCCAGGGAGAACGGAAGAGCGCAGATCTCGCATAGTACACGGAATCAAGTGGTCTCACCCAAATAGAAAGTAGGAAATATATTCATCTAGTGAACATAAGGGTTTAAAAGGTAACTAACGCACATGTGTAGAGAAAATTGTGCGTCGGCCAGTCTGGCCGGCATTTCGCACTGATAGTGCAACTAGGGCCAAGGAGAACGGAAACGCTTATTTCTCAAAAAGTAGAGGGAATCTAGCGGTCTCACTCGATCAGAAGGTGGGAAATATATAAATCTAGTGAGCTAAAAAGGTTCGAAAGGAATCTAATGCATATGTATATGGAAAATGGTGCATTGGCCAGGTCGGTCAGTATGGGAACTTCGAGTGCAAATGACATGGATGTGGTCGTGGACGTGGACGTGGACGTGGACATGGACATGGACATGGACGTGGACATCGACGTGGACGTGGACATGGACGTGGACGTGGACATGGACGTTGACATGGACGTAGACGTGGACATGGACGTGGACGTGGACGTGGACATGGACATAGACGTGGACGTGGACGTGGACGTGGACGTGGACGTGGACGTGGACATGGACGTGGACGTGGACGTAGACGTGGACGTGGACGTAGACGTGGACGTGGACGTGGACCTGGACGTGGACGTGGACCTGGACGCAGACGCGGACGTGGACGCGGACGTGGGCGTGGACGCGGACGTGGACGTGGACGCGGACGTGGACGTGGACGTGGACGCGGACGTGGTCGAGGACGTGGACGTGGACGTGGACGTGGACATGGACGTAGACATGGTCGTGGACGTGGACATGGACATGGACGTGGACGTGGACGTGGACGTAGACGTGGACGTGGACGTGGACGTCGACATGGACGTGGACGTGGACGTGGACATGGAATTGGACGTGGACGTGGACGTGGACGAAGACTTGGACGTGGATGTGGACTTGGACGAAGACATGGACGTGGACGTGGACGTGGACGTGGACATCGACGTAGACGTGGACGTGGACGTGGACATGGAGGAACGTGGACCTGGTCGTGGACGTGGACATGGACGTGGACGTGGACGTGGACGTGGACGTGGACGTGGACGTGGACATGGACGTAGACGTGGACGTGGACGTGGACATGGAGGAACGTGGACCTGGTCGTGGACGTGGACATGGACGTGGACGTGGACGTGGACGTGGACGTGGACATGGACGTGGACGTGGACGTGGACTTGGACGTGGACATGGACGTGGACGTGGACGTGGACGTGGAGGACTTGGACGTGGACATGGACGTGGACATAGACGTGGACGTGGACGTGGACGAAGACATGGTCGTGGACGTGGACATGGAGGTGGACGTGGACGTGGACATGGACGTAGACGTGGACGTGGACGTAGACGTAGACATGGACGTGGACGTGGTCGTGGACGTGGACGTGGACATGGACGTGGACTTGGACGTGGATGTGGACCTGGACGTGGACGTGGACGTGGACATGGACGTGGACGTGGACTTGGACGTGGACATGGACATGGACGTGGACGTGGACGTGGACGTGGACGTAGACGTGGACGTGGACGTGGACGTGGACGTGGACATGGACGTGGACGTGAACGTGGACGTGGACGTGGACATGGACGTGAACGTGGACGTGGACGTGGACATGGACGTGGACGTGGACGTGGACATGGACGTAGACGTGGACGTGGACGTGGACGTGGACATGGACATGGACGTGGTCGTGGACATGGACATGGACGTAGTCGTGGACGTGGACGTGGACGTGGTCGTGGACGTGACGTGGACCTGACGTGGACGTGGACGTGGACCTGACGTGGACGTGGACGTGGACGTGGACATGGACGTGACGTGGACGTGGACGTGGACATGGACGTGGACGTGGACATGGACGTGGACATGGACGTGGACATGGACGTGGACATGGACGTGGACGTGGACGTGGACTGTCAGAATCCCAACCACTAGACCATTGGGATAAAAGGGCTTGTTTCAGTAGCGGGTCAGTGCGCCCATAACCCCCCAGGCGAACGCGCCTGTAACCCTCTCCAGGATCAATCGGGCATCCACAGTGCAGATCTACTAACACCCCCCCACAATGGGAGGCCCAGGACTAAGCACAGCGGCAACGGCCTACATGTGCATACACCGGGAATCGAACCCGAGACCGCTCTGATACTATGTCAGAATCCCAACCACTAGACCATTGGGATAAAAGGGCTTGTTAAGTAGCGGGTCAGTGCGCCCATAACCCCCTAGGCCAACATGCCTGTAACCCTTCCCTAGGATCAATCGGGGATCTCCAGTGGACCTCTGACACCCCCCCACACTGAGATGCCCGAGGTGCACAGCGGCAACGGCCTACATGTGCATACAGCGGGAATCGAACCCGAGACTGCTCTGATACCATGGACGTGGACGTGACGTGGACGTGGACGTGGACGTTGACGTGGACGCGGACGCGGACGTGGACGCGGAAGTGGACGCGGACATGGACGTGGACGTGGACATGGACGTGGATGTGGACGTAAGGGTTTGAAAGGTAACTAACGCACATGTGTAGAGAAAATTGTGCATCAGCCAGTCTGGCCGGCATTTCGCACTTATAGTGCAACTAGGGCCAAGGAGAACGGAAACGCTCATTTCTCAAAAAGTAGAGGGAATCTAGCGGTCTCACTCGATCAAAAGGTGGGAAACATATAAATCTAGTGAGCTAATAAGGTTCGAAAGGAATCTAATGCATATGTATATGGAAAATGGTGCATTGGCCAGGTCGGTCAGTATGGGAACTTAGAGTGCAAATGCCAGGGAGAACGGAAGCGCTCAGATCTCGCATAGTACACGGAATCTAGTGGTCTCACTCCAATAGAAGGTAGGAAATAAATTCATCTAGTGAACGTAAGGGTTTGAAAGGTAACTAACGCACATGTGTAGAGAAAATGGTGCATCGGCCAGTCTGGCCGGCATTTCGCACTTATAGTGCAAGTAGGGCCAAGGAGAACGGAAACGCTCATTTCTCAAAAAGTAAAGGGAATCTAGCGGTCTCACTCGATCAGAAGGTGGGAAATATATAAATCTAGTGAGCTAATAAGGTTCGGAAGGAATCTAATGCATATGTATATGGAAAGTGGTGCATTGGCCAGGTCGGTCAGTATGCGAACTTAGAGTGCTAATGCCTGGGAGAACGGAACTGCTCAGATCTCGCATAATACACGGAATCTAGTGGTCTCACTCAAATATAAGGTAGGAAATATATTCATCTAGTGAACGTAAGGGTTTGAAAGGTAACTAACGCACATGTGTAGAGAAAATGGTGCATCGGCCAGTCTGGCCGGCATATCGCACTCATAGTGCAGGTGGGTCCAGGGAGAACGGAAACGCTCGTTTCTCAAAAAGTAGAGGGAATCTAACGGTCTCACTCGATCAGAAGGTGGGAAATATATAAATCTAGTCAGCTAAAAAGGTTTGAAATGTATTCAACGCACATGTATAGAGAAAATGGTACATTGGCCAGGTCGGTCAGTATCGGAACTTAAAATGCAAATGCCAGGGAGAACGGAAGAGCTCAGATCTCGCATAGTACACGGAATCAAGTGGTCTCACCCAAATAGAAAGTAGGAAATATATTCATCTAGTGAACATAAGGGTTTAAAAGGTAACTAACGCACATGTGTAGAGAAAATTGTGCGTCGGCCAGTCTGGCCGGCATTTCGCACTGATAGTGCAACTAGGGCCAAGGAGAACGGAAACGCTTATTTCTCAAAAAGTAGAGGGAATCTAGCGGTCTCACTCGATCAGAAGGTGGGAAATATATAAATCTAGTGAGCGAAAAAGGTTCGAAAGGAATCTAATGCATATGTATATGGAAAATGGTGCATTGGCCAGGTCGGTCAGTATGGGAACTTCGAGTGCAAATGACATGGATGTGGTCGTGGACGTGGACGTGGACGTGGACATGGACATGGACATGGACGTGGACATCGACGTGGACGTGGACATGGACGTGGACGTGGACATGGACGTTGACATGGACGTAGACGTGGACATGGACGTGGACGTGGACGTGGACATGGACATAGACGTGGACGTGGACGTGGACGTGGACGTGGACGTGGACATGGACGTGGACGTGGACGTAGACGTGGACGTGGACGTAGACGTGGACGTGGACGTGGACCTGGACGTGGACGTGGACCTGGACGCGGACGCGGACGTGGACGCGGACGTGGGCGTGGACGCGGACGTGGACGTGGACGCGGACGTGGACGCGGACGTGGACGCGGACGTGGTCGAGGACGTGGACGTGGACGTGGACGTGGACATGGACGTAGACATGGTCGTGGACGTGGACATGGACATGGACGTGGACGTGGTCGTGGACGTAGACGTGGACGTGGACGTGGACGTCGACATGGACGTGGACGTGGACGTGGACATGGAATTGGACGTGGACGTGGACGTGGACGAAGACTTGGACGTGGACGTGGACGTGGACGAAGACATGGACGTGGACGTGGACGTGGACATGGACGTAGACGTGGACGTGGACGTGGACATGGAGGAACGTGGACCTGGTCGTGGACATGGACGTGGACGTGGACGTGGACGTGGACGTGGACGTGGACGTGGACGTGGACATGGACGTAGACGTGGACGTGGACGTGGACATGGAGGAACGTGGACCTGGTCGTGGACGTGGACATGGACGTGGACGTGGACGTGGACGTGGACGTGGACATGGACGTGGACGTGGACGTGGACTTGGACGTGGACATGGACGTGGACGTGGACGTGGACGTGGAGGACTTGGACGTGGACATGGACGTGGACATAGACGTGGACGTGGACGTGGACGAAGACATGGTCGTGGACGTGGACATGGAGGTGGACGTGGACGTGGACATGGACGTAGACGTGGACGTGGACGTAGACGTAGACATGGACGTGGACGTGGTCGTGGACGTGGACGTGGACATGGACGTGGACTTGGACGTGGATGTGGACCTGGACGTGGACGTGGACGTGGACATGGACGTGGATGTGGACTTGGACGTGGACATGGACATGGACGTGGACGTGGACGTGGACGTGGACGTAGACGTGGACGTGGACGTGGACGTGGACGTGGACATGGACGTGGACGTGAACGTGGACGTGGACGTGGACATGGACGTGAACGTGGACGTGGACGTGGACATGGACGTGGACGTGGACGTGGACATGGACGTAGACGTGGACGTGGACGTGGACGTGGACACGGACATGGACGTGGTCGTGGACATGGACATGGACGTAGTCGTGGACGTGGACGTGGACGTGGTCGTGGACGTGACGTGGACCTGACGTGGACGTGGACGTGGACCTGACGTGGACGTGGACGTGGACGTGGACATGGACGTGACGTGGACGTGGACGTGGACATGGACGTGGACGTGGACATGGACGTGGACATGGACGTGGACATGGACGTGGACATGGACGTGGACGTGGACGTGGACTGTCAGAATCCCAACCACTAGACCATTGGGATAAAAGGGCTTGTTTCAGTAGCGGGTCAGTGCGCCCATAACCCCCCAGGCGAACGCGCCTGTAACCCTCTCCAGGATCAATCGGGCATCCACAGTGCAGATCTACTAACACCCCCCCACAATGGGAGGCCCAGGACTAAGCACAGCGGCAACGGCCTACATGTGCATACACCGGGAATCGAACCCGAGACCGCTCTGATACTATGTCAGAATCCCAACCACTAGACCATTGGGATAAAAGGGCTTGTTAAGTAGCGGGTCAGTGCGCCCATAACCCCCTAGGCCAACATGCCTGTAACCCTTCCCTAGGATCAATCGGGGATCTCCAGTGGACCTCTGACACCCCCCCACACTGAGATGCCCGAGGTGCACAGCGGCAACGGCCTACATGTGCATACACCGGGAATCGAACCCGAGACTGCTCTGATACCATGGACGTGGACGTGACGTGGACGTGGACGTGGACGTTGACGTGGACGCGGACGCGGACGTGGACGCGGAAGTGGACGCGGACATGGACGTGGACGTGGACATGGACGTGGATGTGGACGTAAGGGTTTGAAAGGTAACTAACGCACATGTGTAGAGAAAATTGTGCATCAGCCAGTCTGGCCGGCATTTCGCACTTATAGTGCAACTAGGGCCAAGGAGAACGGAAACGCTCATTTCTCAAAAAGTAGAGGGAATCTAGCGGTCTCACTCGATCAAAAGGTGGGAAACATATAAATCTAGTGAGCTAATAAGGTTCGAAAGGAATCTAATGCATATGTATATGGAAAATGGTGCATTGGCCAGGTCGGTCAGTATGGGAACTTAGAGTGCAAATGCCAGGGAGAACGGAAGCGCTCAGATCTCGCATAGTACACGGAATCTAGTGGTCTCACTCCAATAGAAGGTAGGAAATAAATTCATCTAGTGAACGTAAGGGTTTGAAAGGTAACTAACGCACATGTGTAGAGAAAATGGTGCATCTGCCAGTCTGGCCGGCATTTCGCACTTATAGTGCAAGTAGGCGCAAGGAGAACGGAAACGCTCATTTCTCAAAAAGTAAAGGGAATCTAGCGGTCTCACTCGATCAGAAGGTGGGAAATATATAAATCTAGTGAGATAATATGGTTCGGAAGGAATCTAATGCATATGTATATGGAAAGTGGTGCATTGGCCAGGTCGGTCAGTATGGGAACTTAGAGTGCAAATGCCTGGGAGAACAGAACCGCTCAGATCTCGCATAATACACGGAATCTAGTGGTCTCACTCAAATATAATGTAGGAAATATATTCATCTAGTGAACGTAAGGGTTTGAAAGGTAACTTACGCACATGTGTAGAGAAAATGGTGCATCGGCCAGTCTGGCCGGCATTTCGCACTCATAGTGCAGGTGGGGCCAGGGAGAACAGAAACGCTCGTTTCTCAAAAAGTAGAGGGAATCTAACGGTCTCACTCGATCAGAAGGTGGGAAATAAATAAATCTAGTGAGCTAATAAGGTTCGAAAGGAATCTAATGCATATGTATATGGAAAATGGTGCATTGGCCAGGTCGGTCAGTATGGAAACTTAGAGTGCAAATGACATGGACGTGGTCGTGGACGTGGACGTGGACATGGATATGGACATGGACGTGGACATGGACGTGGACGTGGACATGGACGTTGACGTGGACGTGGACATGGCATGGACGTTGACGTGGACGTTGACGTGGACGTGGACGTGGACATGGACGTTGACGTGGACGTGGACGTGGACGTGGACGTGGACGTGGACATGGACGTAGACGTGGACGTGGACGTGGACGTGGACGTGGAATTAGACGTGGACGTGGACGTGGACGTGGAGATGGAATTGGACGTGGACGTGGACGTGGACGAAGACTTGGACGTGGACGTGGACGTGGACATGGACGTGGACGTGGACGTGGACGTGGACATGGACGTGGACGTGGACGTGGACGTGGACATGGAGGAACGTGGACCTGGTCGTGGACGTGGACATGGACGTGGACGTGGACGTGGACGTGGACGTGGACGTTGACGTGGACGTAGACCTGGTCGTGGACGCGGACATGGATGTGGACGTGGACATGGACGTGGACGTGGACGTGGACGTGGTTGTAGACGCGGACGTGGACGTGGACGTGGACATGGACGTAGACATGGTCGTGGACGTGGACATGGACATGGACGTGGACGTGGACGTGGACGTAGACGTGGACGTCTACGTGGACGTCGACGTGGACAAGGACGTGGATGTGTACGTGGACGTGGACGTGGACGTGGACGTGGACGTGGAGGACTTGGACGTGGACGTGGACGTGGACGACTTGGACGTGGAGGACTTGGACGTGGACGTGGACGTAGACGTGGACGTGGACGTGGTCGTGGACGTGGACGTGGACGTGGACATGAAGGTGGACGTGGACGTGGACATGGACGTGGACGTGGACGTGGACGTGGACATAGACGTGGACATGGACGTGGACGTGGACATGGTCCTGGACGTGGACATGGACGTGGACGTGGAGATGGACGTGGTTGTGGACGTGGACGTGGACGTGGACGTGGACATGGACATGGACGTGGACGTGACGTGGACGTGGACATGGACGTGGACGTGGACGTGGACATGGACGTGGACGTGGATGTGTACGTGGACGAAGACATGGTCGTGGACGTGGACGTGGACGTAGACATGGACGTAGACTTGGACGTGTACGTGGACGTGGACGTGGTCGTGGACGTGGACGTGGACGTGGAGGAACATGGACGAGGACGTGGACGTGGACATGGACGTGGGCGTAGACGTGGACGTGGACGTGGACATGGACGTGGACGTGGACGTGGACGTGGACGTGGACGTTGACGTGGACGTAGACCTGGTCGTGGACGCGGACATGGATGTGGACGTGGACATGGACGTGGACGTGGACGTGGACGTGGTTGTAGACGCGGACGTGGACGTGGACGTGGACATGGACGTAGACATGGTCGTGGACGTGGACATGGACATGGACGTGGACGTGGACGTAGACGTGGACGTGTACGTGGACGTCGACGTGGACAAGGACGTGGATGTGTACGTGGACGTGGACGTGGACGTGGACGTGGACGTGGACGTGGAGGACTTGGACGTGGACGTGGACGTGGACGACTTGGACGTGGAGGACTTGGACGTGGACGTGGACGTAGACGTGGACGTGGACGTGGTCGTGGACGTGGACGTGGACGTGGACATGAAGGTGGACGTGGACGTGGACATGGACGTGGACGTGGACGTGGACGTGGACATAGACGTGGACGTGGACGTGGACGTGGACATGGTCCTGGACGTGGACATGGACGTGGACGTGGAGATGGACGTGGTTGTGGACGTGGACGTGGACGTGGACGTGGACATGGACATGGACGTGGACGTGACGTGGACGTGGACATGGACGTGGACGTGGACGTGGACATGGACGTGGACGTGGACGTGTACGTGGACGAAGACATGGTCGTGGACGTGGACGTGGACGTAGACATGGACGTAGACTTGGACGTGTACGTGGACGTGGACGTGGTCGTGGACGTGGACGTGGACGTGGAGGAACATGGACGAGGACGTGGACGTGGACATGGACGTGGGCGTAGACGTGGACGTGGACGTGGACATGGACGTGGACATGGACGTGGACGTGGACGTGGACGTGGACATGGACGTGGACGTGGACGTGGACGTGGACGTGGACGTGGACATGGACGTGGACGTGGACGTGGACGTGGACGTGGACGTGGACGTGGACATGGTCGTGGACGTGGACGTGGACGAGGACGTGGACATGGACGTGGACGTGGACGTGGATATGGACGTGGACGTGGACATGGACGTGGATGTGGACATGGTCGTGGACGTGGACATGGACGTGGACGTGGACATGGACGTGGACGTGGACGTGGACATGGACGTGGACGTGGACGTGACGTGGACGTGGACATGGACGTGGACGTGGACGTGGACGTGGATATGGACGACGTGGATATGGACGTGGACGTGGACGTGGACGTGGACGTGGACATGGACGTGGACGTGGACATGGACGTGGACATGGACGTGGGAAGGGGATGGGGGGAAGTAGGGAAGGGGATGGGGGGAAGCAGGGAAGGGGATGGGGGGAAGCAGGGCAGGGGATACGGGGTAAGAGGGGATAGGATAGGGGGAAGCACGGCTAGGGATACGAGGATGGGGGGAACGTGGGCAGATGCCGGGGAGAGAGCTGGGGGGAGGATGGTGGGGAGCAGAGACGGAATCAAAACGCTGTTCGATTGTGGTGGCGGAAGCGACCACCTCTGTTTCTCCCCATCTGTTCCTCCCCATCTGTCCCACCCCTTCGGAAGGAATGAGGGAGGAAGGATGGGCTGGAGCTAGTGAGATGGGGAGAGGGGAAGAGCGGATGGAAACGCGGAGGTGGACATGGACGTGGACATGGACGTGGACGTAGACGTGGACGTGGACATGGACGTGGACGTGGACATGGACGTGGATGTAGACGTGGACGTGGACATGGACGTGGACGTGGACATGGACGTGGACGTGGACGTGGACGTGGACGTGGACATGGACGTGGACGTGGACGTGGACGTGGACATGGACGTGGACGTGGACATGGACGTGGACATGGACGTAGACGTGGACGTGGATGTTGACGTGGACATGGACGTGGACATGGACGTGGACATGGACGTGGACATGGACGTGGACATGGACGTGGACATGGACGTGGACGTGGACGTGGACGTGGACATGGACGTGGACGTGGACATGGACGTGGATGTAGACGTGGACGTGGACATAGACGTGGACGTGGACATGGACGTGGACGTGGACGTGGACGTGGACGTGGACATGGACGTGGACGTGGACGTGGACGTGGATCTGGAGTGGACGTGGACATGGAGTGGACGTGGACGTGGAGTGGACGTGGACGTGGACGTGGACGTGGACGTGGACGTGGACGTGGACGTGGAGGTGGACGTGGACGTGGACGTGGAGGTGGACGTGGAGGTGGACGTGGACGTGGAGAACTTGGACGTGGACGTGGACGTGGACGTGGACGTGGACGTGGACGTGGACGTGGACGTGGAGGACTTGGACGTGGACATGGACTTGGACGTGGACGTGGACGTGGACATGGACGTGGACGTAGACGTGGACGTGGACGTGGACGTGGACGTGGACGTGGACGTGGACGTGGACGTGGACGTGGACATGGACGTGGACGTGGACATGGACATGGACGTGGACATGGACATGGACGTGGACGTGGACGTGGACATGGACGTGGACATGGACGTGGACGTGGACGTGGACGTGGACATGGACGTGGACGTGGACATGGACGTGGACGTGGACGTGGACGTGGACATGGACGTGGACGTGGACGTGGACGTGGACGTGGACATGGACGTGGACGTGGACGTCGACATGGACGTGGACGTGGACGTGGACGTGGACGTGGACGTGGACGTGGACATGGACGTAGACGTGGACGTGGACGTTGATGTGGACATGGACGTGGACGTGGACGTGGACGTGGACATGGACGTGGACGTGGACGTGGACGTGGAGGAGTTGGACGTGGACATGGACGTGGACGTGGACATGGACGTGGACGTGGACGTAGATATGGACGACGTGGATATGGACGTGGACGTGGACGTGGACGTGGACGTTGACGTGGACATGGACGTGGACGTGGACATGGACGTGGACGTGGTCGTGGACGTGGACGTAGACGTGGACATGGTCATGGACGTGGACGTGGACGTGGACGTGGACATGGACGTGGACGTGGACGTGGACATGGAAGTGGACGTGGACATGGACGTAGACGTGGACGTGGACGTGGACGACTTGGACGTGGACATGGACGTGGACGTGGACGTGGACGTGGACATGGACGTGGACGTAGACGTGGACGTGGACGTGGACGTGGACATGGATGTAGACGTGGACGTGAACGTGGACGTGGACATAGACGTGGACGTGGACGTGGACATGGACATGGACACGTCCACGTCCATGTCCACATCCACGTCCATGTCCACGTCCACGTCCACGTTCACGTCCATGTCCATGTCCATGTCCACGTCCACGTCCACGTCCACGTCCATGTCATTTGCACTCTAAGTTCCCACACTGACCGACCTGGCCAATGCACCACTTTCCATATACATATGTATTAGATTCCTTTCGAACCTTATTAGCTCACTAGATTTATATATTTCCCACCTTCTGATCGAGTGAGACCGCTAGATTCCCTCTACTTTTTGAGAAATGAGCGTTTCCGTTCTCCTTGGCCCTAGTTGCACTATAAGTGTGAAATGCCGGCCAGACTGGCCGATGCACAATTTTCTCTACACATGTGCGTTAGTTACCTTTCAAACCCTTACGTTTACTAGATGAATAGATTTCCTACTTTCTATTTGAGTGAGACCACTTGATTCCGTTTACTATGTGAGATCTGAGCGCTTCCGTTCTCCCTGGCATTTGCATTTTAAGTTCCGATACTGACCGACCTGGCCAATGCACCATTTTCTCTATACATGTGCGTTGAATACATTTCAAACCTTTTTAGCTGACTAGATTTATATATTTCCCACCTTCTCATAGAGTGAGACCGTTAGATTCCCTCTACTTTTTGAGAAACGAGCGTTTCCATCCTCCCTGGCCCCACCTGCACTATGAGTGCGAAATGCCGGCCAGACTGGCCAATGCACCATTTTCTATACACATGTGCGTTAGTTACCTTTCAAACCCTTACGTTCACTAGATGAATATATTTCCTACCTTATATTTGAGTGAGACCACTAGATTCCGTGTATTACGCGAGATCTGAGCGGTTCCGTTCTCCGAGGCATTTGCGCTCCAAGTTCCCATACTGACCGACCTGGCCAATGCACCACTTTCTATATACATATGCATTAGATTCCTTCCGAACCTTATTAGCTCACTATATTTATATATTTCCCACCTTCTGATCGAGTGAGACCACTAGATTCCCTTTACTTTTTGAGAAATGAGCGTTTCCGTTCTCCTTGGCCCTACTTGCACTATAAGTGCGAAATGCCGGCCAGACTGGCCGATGCTCCATTTTCTCTACACATGTGCGTTAGTTACCTTTCAAACCCTTACGTTCACTAGATGAATATATTTCCTACCTTATATTTGAGTGAGACCACTAGATTCCGTGTATTTTGCGAGATCTGAGCGGTTCTGTTCTCCCAGGCATTTGCACTCTAAGTTCCCATACTGACCGACCTGGCCAATGCACCACTTTCCATATACATATGCATTAGATTCCTTCCGAACGTTATTAGCTCACTAGATTTATATATTTCCCACCTTCTGATCGAGTGAGACCGCTAGATTCCCTTTACTTTTTGAGAAATGAGCGTTTCCGTTCTCCTTGGCCCTACTTGCACTATAAGTGCGAAATGCCGGCGAGACTGGCCGATGCTCCATTTTCTCTACACATGTGCGTTAGTTACCTTTCAAACCCTTACGTTCACTAGATGAATTTATTTCCTACCTTCTATTTGAGTGAGACCACTAGATTCCGTGTACTATGCGAGATCTGAGCGCTTCCGTTCTCCCTGGCATTTGCACTCTAAGTTCCCATACTGACCGACCTGGCCAATGCACCACTCTCCATATACATATGCATTAGACTCCTTCCGAACATTATTAGCTCACTAGATTTATATATTTCCCACCTTCTTATCGAGTGAGACCGCTAGATTCCCTTTACTTTTTGAGAAATGAGCGTTTCCGTTCTCCTTGGCCCCAGTTGCACTAAAAGTGCGAAATGCCGGCCAGACTGGCCGATGCACCATTTTCTCTACACATGTGCGTTAGTTACCTTTCAAACCCTTACGTTCACTAGATGAATTTATTTCCTACATTCTATTTGAGTGAGACCACTAGATTCCGTGTACTATGCGAGATCTGAGTGCTTCCGTTCTCCTTGGCATTTGCACTCTAAGTTCCCATACTGACCGACCTGGCCAATGCACCATTTTCCATATACATATGCATTAGATTCCTTTCGAACCTTATTAACTGACTATAATTATATATTTCCAACCTTCTGATCGAGTGAGACCGCTGGATTCCCTCTACTTTTTGAGAAATGAGCGTTTCCGTACTCCTTGGCCCTAGTTGCACTAAAAGTGCGAAATGCCGGCCAGACTGGCCGATGCACCATTTTCTCTACACATGTGCGTTAGTTACCTTTCAAACCCTTACGTTCACTAGATGAATATATGTCCTACCTTATATTTGAGTTAGACCACTAGATTCCGTGTATTGTGCGAGATTTGAGCGGTTCCGTTCTCCCAGGCATTTGCACTCTAAGTTCCCATACTGACCGACCTGGCCAGGCACCACTTTCCATATACATATGCTTGAGATTCCTTCCGAACCTTATTAGCTCACTAGATTTATATATTTCCCACCTTTTGATCGAGTGAGACCGCTAGATTCCCTTTACTTTTTGAGAAATTAGCGTTTCCGTTCTCCTTGGCCCTACTTGCCCTATAAGTGCGAAATGCCGGCCAGACTGGCCGATGCACCATTTTCTCTACACATGTGCGTTAGTTACCTTTCAAACCCTTACGTTCACTAGATGAGTTTATTTCCTACCTTCTATTTGAGTGAGACCACTAGATTCCGTGAACTATGCGAGATCTGAGCGTTTCCGTTCTCCCTGGCATTTGCACTCTAAGTTCCCATACTGACCGACCTGGCCAATGCACCATTTTCCATATACATATGCATTAGATTCCTTTCGAACCTTATTAGCTCACTAGATTTATATATTTCCCACCTTCTGATCGAGTGAGACCGCTAGATTCCCTTTACTTTTTGAGAAATTAGCGTTTCCGTTCTCCTTGGCCCTACTTGCACTATAAGTGCGAAATGCGGGCCAGACTGGCCGATGCACCATTTTCTCTACACATGTGCGTTAGTTACCTTTCAAACCCTTACGTTCACTAGATGAATATATTTCCTACCTTCTATTTGAGTGAGACCACTAGATTCCGTGTACTATGCGAGATCTGAGCGCTTCCGTTCTCCCTGGCATTTGCACTCTAAGTTCCCATACTGACCGACCTGGCCAATGCACCATTTTCCATATACATATGCATTAGATTCCTTTCGAACCTTATTAGCTCACCAGATTTATATATTTCCCACCTTCTGATCGAGTGAGACCGCTAGATTCCCTCTACGTTTTGAGAAATGAGCGTTTCCGTTCTCCTTGGCCCTAGTTGCACTATAAGTGCGAAATGCCGGCCAGACTGGCCGATGCACAGTTTTCTCTACACATATGCGTTAGTTACTTTTCAAACCCTTACGTTCACTAGATGAATATATTTCCTACTTTCTATTTGAGTGAGACCACTTGATTCCGTGTACTATGCGAGATCTGAGCGCTTCCATTCTCCCTGGCATTTGCATTTTAAGTTCCGATACTGACCGACCTGACCAATGCACCATTTTATATATACATGTGCGTTGAATACATTTCAAACCTATTTAGCTGACTAGATTTATATATTTCCCACCTTTTGATCGAGTGAGACCGTTAGATTCCCTCTACTTTTTGAGAAACGAGCGTTTCCGTTCTCCCTGGCCCCACCTGCACTACGAGTGCGAAATGCCGGCCAGACTGGCCGATGCACCATTTTCTCTACACATGTGCGTTAGTTACCTTTCAAACCCTTATGTTCACTAGATGAATTTGTTTCCTACCTTCTATTTGAGTGACACCACTATATTCCGTGTACTATGCGAGATCTGAGCGCTTCCGTTCTCCCTGGCATTGGCACTCTAAGTTCCCATACTGACCGACCTGGCCAATGCACCATTTTCTATATACATATGTGTCAGAATCCCAACCACTAGACCATTGGGATAAAAGGGCTTGTTTCAGTAGCGGGTCAGTGCGCCCATAACCCCCGAGGCAAACGTGCCTGTAATTCTTCCCTAGGATCGATCGGGGATCACCAGTGGACCTCTGACAATATGCATTAGATTCCTTTCGAACCTTATTAGCTCACTAGATTTATATATTTCCCACCTTCTGATCGAGTGAGACCGCTAGATTCCCTTTAGTTTTTGAGAAATGAGCGTTTCCGTTCTCCTTGGCCCTACTTGCACTATAAGTGCGAAATGCCGGCCAGACTGGCCGATGCACAATTTTCTCTACACATGTGCGTTAGTTACCTTTCAAACCCTTACGTTCACTAGATGAATATATTTCCTACTTTCTATTTGAGTGAGACCACTTGATTCCGTATGCTATGCGAGATCTGAGCGCTTCCGTTCTCCCTGGCATTTGCATTTTAAGTTCCGATACTGACCGACCTGGCCAATGCACCATTTTATCTATACATGTGCGTTAAATACATTTCAAACCTTTTTAGCTGACTAGATTTATATATTTCCCACCTTCTGATCGAGTGAGACCGTTAGATTCCCTCTACTTTTTGAGAAACGAGCGTTTCCGTTCTCCCTGGACCCACCTGCAGTATGAGTGCGATATGCCGGCCAGACTGGCCGATGCACCATTTTCTCTACACATGTGCGTTAGTTACCTTTCAAACCCTTACGTTGACTAGATGAATATATTTCCTACCTTATATTTGAGTGAGACCACTAGATTCTGTGTATTATGCGAGATCTGAGCGATTCCGTTCTCCCAGGCATTTGCACTCTAAGTTCCCATACTGACCGACCTGGCCAATGCACCACTTTCCATATACATATGCATTAGATTCCTTCCGAACCTTATTTGCTCGCAAGATTTATATATTTCCCAGCTTCTGATCGAGTGAGACCGCTAGATTCCCTTTACTTTTTGAGAAATTAGCGTTTCCGTTCTCCTTGGCCCTACTTGCACTATAAGTGCGAAATGCCGGCCAGACTGGCCGATGCACCATTTTCTCTACACATGTGCGTTAGTTACCTTTCAAACCCTTACGTTCACTAGATGAATTTATTTCCTACCTTCTATTTGAGTAAGACCACTAGATTCCGTGTACTATGCGAGATCTGAGCGCTTCCGTTCTCCCAGGCATTTGCACTCTAAGTTCCCATACTGACCGACCTGGCCAATGCACCAT